TGATGAAATGTAAACAATATGCGCAGTGTTCATTTTTTTGGGGAATGATTAAGCACTTTTCAAAAATTATGTTCGAAAAAAATGAGTCGATGATGAAACGCGTGTGCTGAACACAGAAAGGAAAATTTAGAAAAAAAAACTTTTTTTGAAAAACTTATTGAAAATTTTCAATTAACATTAATTCGGGTCACAATCAATCAGTCAAATTTGCATCAAGAAAATTTCATCGTGTTTATCATCTTTTGGAGAATGATTTTTCATTTTTTAGAAAATTTTACTCAAAACAACTTTAAACTGAGTCGATGATGAAATGTAAATCAAAAGGAAAATTCACAAAAAAGCTTTCTTTGGAAAACTTATCAAAAAACTTCTAATTAATAAACATTCATTTATTCGTATCACAATTGATTTGTCTAATTCGCAACAGAATAATCACACAAAATAGAATTCTTCATTTGATGTTCACAAAACAACAAGTTCTCTTTCATCATGAGTCTGACAACGTGCTCACGCTGCAAAGTCAAGTTGACAATTGACAACTTTCCTTTTCAACATGCGCTTTTCAACGCTGAGCTCTTTGGCGTTCTTCATAAACGACAGGATGATCAAAACAAAGAATTTTCTAAAATCCTCTGTGAAAAATTGATAAAATTGATCCATTCATTCCAACTATCAACGATAAGTCATGTTTTATCGCCATACATACACTCATTAAGCAATAAAACAATAAACAATAAATAATGGTTTATTAGACTACTTAATAATATTATTGCTATCAAAATGTTATCCAAGGCCGGATCAGGTTGATTTAGCACGACTGCTTGGCGATCGTTTCGATGAACGTTTTGATCGACTGGCACTAGTGTTGCTAATCATATTACTATCCACACAACTTGATCCAGTGGAAGATGCTGCTTGATTGTCCGCCATAACAGGTGGTTGGGCAGTGCCATTTTGTAAACTGGAAGCCTTACTTCTTTTGGTCGATAATTTAGAGAAAATATATTTACTATTCATTGTTTTTTCAGCTATCATTGATTGTTGACGAGCACGACGACGACGACAAGTGAAGAATATTGACCATATTATCATCATTGATATCACCATTAACATTATTATCACTAAAATTACCCAACATAAATCTTGACAAAAAATAATTGATTTGAGCCAGCAATCAAAATGAGTTTGAATATTACTTACAATTTTTTGGGCAAGTTGTATTTTCAATAAAGCCCATACAACGGAAGAAGGAATCATACCTAATTTGTTGAAATGGATACATTTTTCTTTCATTCATATAGGCATTTTCCTCAAATACATAGACATAGGAATGACCAAATAGATAAAAGTTTCCATGAAAAACAAAACCTGTCAATATTGGCCATTGAACAGGCTTCTTACAATATGCAGGCTCATCTTTCACTCGTACTATGGTGATATTGTTACCGGATTCATCAAAACAAATGACTGAATGACCAGTTTTAGGTAATACTATGGGCAATTCCTTTATTGATTTCTCACATTGAGAACGACTAATTCGAAGACTTGTGGATACTTTTATTGTATAGAATTGGCAATTTACGTCTGCTGAAAGTACAATTAGATTAGCTTCCAAATAGTACCATCCTGTTATTTCCCTTCTATGCTTGATATCATAATTGAAGGCATCTTCAGTTTGACTGTAATTGGTTGCTACACAAATCCAATCACCATCTTGATCAAACATCAACCATACTAGCGAGTTGAATTTCATAATAGGCTTATAATAATCAAAAAATTTTGACAATTGAATGTCGAGTGGTTGGGGCCAAGTCATAAGATATAATTTATTATTTGTCGGATCCAGTGCATAAGCTGGCATAACATAACTTAGGTTATTCTTGGTTATCAATCTTAAATATCCATCCCTCGTTATTCCAATTGCCAGTATATTCAATTGGCTATCATTATTTTGCTGGAAACTTTGGCAGATTGTCTTGGTTTTGTAAAATGCAACATTCATTATTCATTCATTTTTCCTTTTCAAATCAATACTCACATCTTTTGCATGTGGTTTTGGAAGGTATTGATCCCTTCTTTGTGTCATTACAATCCATGTTTCAATCACAATCATCCACATCAGACAAAGGCCAATGTTCAATGTCCACTTTGACATTTTTCAATCGAAACCAAAAACCACCAAGTTCGCCTTGAAAATTCATTTAATGAATGTTTTGGTTTGTATTGTTGTCAATTAGGCCACAATTCATTTTCTAATACATTTCACAATTCATAGCAACTAACAATGTTTTTCTTCCAAACAATCATATTCGACTGATGGAATTTATTTATTTCATTTTTTCAATTTTCAAAATGCAATGTCACATAACAATCAAAATATCAACATTGAACAAAGTTGCTTTATTCATTCGCAAATGAATTTGATCGCGGTTGAGAAACGTGCCAATCAGTCGCAGGCCAAACTTGACGACCACGAAGGTGGATACGTTCATGTTTGTTTAGATGATCTTTACGACCAAAACGTTTTGGACAAGATCCACATTGATAGGGACGTATTCCGGTATGAATACGACGATGTCTGGTCAGTTCTTCGTTGCGCGTAAATGATTTGCCACAATCACCGAAATCGCATCGAAATGGCCGTTCACCTGAGCAACAACACACACAATCAAAATCAATGATCAATGCAATTCCAACAAATATTACCGGTATGGGTTCGCAAATGGCTGGTCAATTGGCTACGATTATTGAATCGATTGCTGCATAGGTGGCAAATGAATTTTTTCACACATGGTTTCTTGTTGCTGTCTTTGTTTGCAATGCTTCCATTCAATTGCAAGCGTCGGGTGGTCGTCTCGATCTGTCCATGCTGATGATTATTGTGAATGGAAAACCATAACCAATAATAGTAATTATACAATATTAATTGATTGTTATTATCATTATCCAATTGATCAACTGGCTGATGAAATGATGATTTTGCCGTATGATTTTTATCATTAGGGTCCGCTAACCATGGCCGAAACCAATTCATTTTTGTTGTTGTTGGGTGCTGAGGTGATGATCGAATCATTGCAAGTTGGATAATGATCATTTTCCAATCTGTTCAAACAACATCATTATCAATTTTAATCAAGCAAAACATGGATAATCATGAGGTGTCATCCAATGCATCCCTCAACTGTGATGAACCCTTTAGCATGATCAATCAATCATTTTCAATCCATAATGACCAAGCAAACAAACAAACAAACAAATACAAATACAAAGCCCTTTTTATCCAGCTGAGATTTGTGCCAAATCCACTATAGGTGATGATTGGCTGACAGGTTAGATACTTAAGCAATTGATTGATTCCTGTCAATGGAATCCATTGCTCACGAATCAAATAATGAACTGATAACTAATCACACACACACAATAAATAATCATTGATCATTCGATAACTTTACACTTTATTCAGACAACACGATCGAACGTAGGACGGGCAAAATATCCATCGAATCTCATATTACTTTGATGAACGATTTTCGTTCTTCTTTCTTCGCTTATTTCTTCGATGCCTTCGATCAGCTTTTCCAATTCGATTACCTCTTGATGGGCCTTTCGGCAAATGTTTTCACACAATTTCAATTCCTGTGAGGCGAGTGGGGATTGTCGACGTAAACTATCGTTGGTTCGTGATATAACCGAAACCATTTGAAATGCATTCATCGTTATCGATGAGAATCGATTCATGTCAATCTGGTTTTTGACACATTCCTGCAAAACAGACAAAAAACAACATTCAACATACAACCAATCAAATTTTTTGCAACAACCTTGCCATATATTCGCAGAATATTATCGGCCATATTGTTTTCAATTTCCAGAACCTGCTTCAATCGGTGGGCCGAATCTTTGAGCAAAGTAGGCAAGGTCTGCAATGCATTGAAACCATCATAAGCTTGCGGGTAGCGAAGATGAAATCTTCTCCTGTATCGTTCAAATTGATATTTCCAATAATTTATCGGATAGATTCGATTCAGACGTAGTTTCACTAGAAGATCATATCGCCACTGACCCACACTGCGAAGTCCATAACTGGCCAATAACATTCGTAATGATGCTGGTGTATCGAGAACACTGCTGACAACATTGATCACGTCATTCATATCTTGCGACACAATCCGCGATAATTGCCGTGGTTGATAATATAGTCGGATCCATCGAACCATTTGTTCGCAATATTCGGCTGCCAGAATTTTGACAACCATAGCCTGCAGATATAGATCGATTTGATCCAATTCGAATGTATCATAATGTGAACTTGTTAAATATAGAACCGACTCCAGTGAATAAATCATCTCCGATAATCGGGTAACATGATTGGTGAATAATGTTGATGTTTGTTGATTACTAATGTCAATCACATTATTCAATACTTGCTTCATAATGCCCAACAAAATAGCCGATATCGACAAATGACCAGATGCTTTCATATTGAGCAACATTGTTGCCCGATTATCAATCAGCACTTCCGAATCGTCTTTTGTTACATTTAAATTTTTGAACGTAATCGATTCAAATCGAGTTCCGTAATTATCTGTTCCATCGGGCTCGATGCTCAACTGTTCGGTCGGTATAAGAAATGAGCCGATACCACAATCATTGCTTTGTTTGATGCGACAGAACAAAAGATAATAATCATAATCACCACCATCGTTAGGAATTCTCGATTTTTTTCCATTCAATAGCCAACTATTTGTTTGCGAATCGAAATGAGCAGTCGATTGCCAGAATGGATACGGTGGTGACATGAATGTGTCGTTCGGTTCATCGAATGCTAATGCGATGCGTATATTTTTGAAATCAGACATTATTTGTTCACGCAAACTGTCATTGTTGCTGTTTTGAATGGTGTTCAGTATGATTGAATTTCGAATCAATAACGGTATGATTGTTTTCAGGAATTGTTTCTTCTCTTTATAACTTGTTAGAAAACTATCAGTTACAGAAAGTTGATCCAATTTTATCAATTCTCCAGTCGATTCATTTGGCTGTCGTTTTTTGAATTCCAACGATGATCCCATTGCTTCAAACAACCGCACTTTTTCCGTTTCAGTTAATGTGGAAAGTTCAAAAAATCCACACTGTTTCAATCGATTTGGATCCGAACATAGATCCATAAAATTCTCCTGAACAAATTGATACTGCTGATTCAATATTCGGCTTTCCTCGTCATTTTCAACAAGTTTCGGAAAACTAAATGAAATTGTTTTGAAATAATTTTCATCAAAATGCCTTCGTCACTAACCTCAAATAATCGGCATCAAGTTCACCGAAGAATGATCGAAAAACAAACGATTCAAATTTAGTTGTCTTCTGCAACGAAGATCTGACATCGATGGTTTTAACATTGAATTCATTATTTAAACAGCAATTCTTTGTCAAAAATCGAACCCAATGAATTCTTAGGCCGGAATTGCATCGAAAACCATTGACTAGCTTATTCATTTTATTTCGTAAACACAACACACATGTTTTCAAAATAAAAACATCATCACTTTGTCTATGAACGGGCATTCAATCGATCAAAGCGATGATACTTCCGTGCCATTTTATCAATTCAAAAAATGATCATTTTGCTTTGGCCATCAAAAATATAGTCACTTTTAATTTGGTTACATAAATTAACAATGAGCAATTTGCAAAATTGCAAAAAAATGAGGGAACCCGGTCGTCGACGGCAGGACTCGAACCTGCGACCTCCTGATCAGCTTCAGAAATTAATTTCGAAGTCAGTTATGCTGTCCACTGCACCACGCCGACCTCCGGCTAACACTCGAAAGTGATAATCACCACTCGACTGTACTGCTCCTCTATGTTAAACACATTGATTGTTGTTGATTTTATAGGAAAATGCTGTCCAATTTAAAAAAACTAAATTAAACGACAATCCAACAAATCCATTCATTCCCAGAAACAATCAACCCAGGCAAGAATCTGCCTGAATGAAAAAAATCCAACAAAAATCACACAGTCAGTGCCATCCATTGGCCATTCACTCGAACTAATGCACATGTGATGATCAGTGATCACATTGATATCAATAACATTCATCATCATGTTGATCAATACTAAATTCAGATTTAATCATCTCAGATATTATCGTCGATGGCTTTCCTCGTCCAGCAATACAGTTTTCGAACCCAAGACAAAATCCGATGAAAAACATGAAACGACAACATCATCTGAAACGGTGGGCGATATTCACTTGGAACCGGTGCCGATCAAATCGATGAATATTCTCTCGAGAATCGAAACCTACGAAAAACATGGATCATCATTCAATAATCTTTTCATCGGTCGTGCTGATTGTGATCTGTTGAGTTTTCCGTTTCTGCTACGATCCCGTAAAGAATTTCTGGAAATGAGTGATCAATATGAAATGGTACGAACAACATGGAATCGAATCAAAAAAGATGAACAAACATTAAATCTACTCAATTACAATTCGCTGTATAAGTTGAGCGTCAGTGAAATGATGTTCATATTCGAAGCTATTGGTGCCAGCGTGGAAAAAAATCTTCCGTTCGGCACGAAAGAAGATCGCGAGAGTCGTTTCGAAAAACGCTTATCCAAATCATTCAACATTGATTCGGCCAGCAATCGATTCGACATTGGTGAGCAAGCTTTTTCCAGTTTTCACAATATTCGCGAAGCAATCGAAACCATAGTGCCGTTGATCGAACGCAATGCCATCGTTCATTATGCATTAAGTCGATCGACCAATCACCATATGCAATCGGTAGCTGCCAGTGATTCCAAAATCGCCTTTGCATTCGACGAAGATTTCGATTCGGATCGTACCGATATCAAAGTGGCCAGTTGGTCCAGTCAAGCTCGTTTGACATATGATTTCAATTCGTGGGTCATCTCCGGTCGAAAGAACAATATTATCGATGGCAACTATTCGCATTATTTGATCGTTTCGAAAACCGATGATTACACTGAAGTACAAGGTGTCAATCAACTGCAAAACGATGTGGGAATTGTTGCATTGTTAGTACCGGCCGATCAAGTAAAAATCGAACGGGATGCTGCCGATTTTCTGGCCATCAAACATCAACGAATAAGCTTCGAAGACATTGAATTGATGCGTGATTCGAGCGAAGTAATCAATGCCACCAAAAATCTTGCCGAATTCAACAATGTAAAAGGTTGCGGACAATTGGCTGTATCAGCATTTTTGCTAGGACTACTTAAACAATTACAAAAAAATACCTATGCTTATCTGGTCAACAATCGACTTGGTCTCACTGACTGTGAACTGGTTCAATACAAGCTTTTCCGTTCAACTTGTCAGATTTATGGCCTGGAATCGATGATCTATTTGACTGCTGCTATGTATGATTCATTTGAACGTGGTGCCGATTTGGCCGCCGAGTCCATTACGGCCAAAACCAAAACTGTGGAATATGCTTACGATGTGATTAGTGAATTGCGATCCTTGTTCGGTTCTCGATATCCCTTTTCATCCACTGTTCATGATCTAGTCTATTATTTGGATTCCTTTCTCGACTCTACACTCAACAATCGAATGTTTTTGGCCCAAAACGCCGCCAAATATTATAAAACATTCGAAGATATGACTTTGAATCGATTAAGATTTATCGAAAAAGGACCAATCAATTCCATTCAACGTTATCTTCGACAAAGAAAACTTCGAAAACACGAAACTTTTCTGACGCGTGAAATGACCAAATATGTTCATCATAATCTCCATACTGCCTGTGATTGGATTGAACATTTAATCATTTTGCTGCAATTCTCGATGCATTATATTTCTACCCTTCATAAGGAAGTGAGTCAAATTCGAATCAATGAATCACACTCATTAATCATTATCATTTTCAGGAGATGCATCAACAGCACTTCGATCTGAATCGATTAGTGGAAATGGCCATGGATATTCAGATAATGATATCATGCCTGTCTCGTGCCAATCATGCCCTCTGCTATGGAATACGAAATGGCCATTCGGAGAAAGAGGTCTGCATGGCTGTTTGTAAACAATTATTTCTCAAACATTTGCAAACATTCGACGAAATTGACAAAAGAACCCTCACCAACAACGATGATTATTGTCGAACAATATTCGAAACAAATATGACCGAACGCGGTTACTTTCCCAAACTATTTCAAGTGGAATGATAATCAAACCAGATTTACTCCAATGGTCTAGCAAATCAATCAAACAAATTCATCATCAACGTCAAAAGAAAAAATGTATTTATAAGACAAAAAGAAAAGGGATACAATTATCAATCATTTTGTTTTGTTTTGGAGAGAGGAAATGGGCAAATACAACACTAAAAAAGAAAATTCATTAATTTAAAGCTTACTCACAATTTGTTTTCTCGTTTTGTTTGTTTGCATTCAGTCTTTCCTAAAATAATGAATGATGATGATATTCGGTTGATGATTTTTGTTTGTTTGTTGCGGAATCGGAATTGTTGATGAATGAAATTAAATACATTTTTCCACATATCTCATTGTGTGTATTGTAATAATGATGATAATTATAATAAAATCTAAATCGTTATCGTGTCTTGTGTGGTATGTTATGTTATCTCTCTTAGCCAATGATGATGGTGGTGATGATCATGATAAATTGTGTGGTAGTGTGAACAAACAATAAATGACAATGATATTTGTAATCAATCAATTATAATAGAGCGTGTATATTATGAACGATATTTTTCTCCAAAAAAAATTGATAGATTTTTTTCTTTTTCTGCGCTCACAACAACGATGACGATGACACATCATGTGAATGGATAAAAATAATAACAAAAAAGGTAAGCGTTTACTGCTCATCATCATCATCATTATGTTTTGATTTTGGGCTTCTGCAATGTGTGTGTGTGTTGTGTTGGTTTTCAATGGACCTCTGAACTTTCAGCTTTGGCTGCAATATGATTATTAGTATCTTGAAGGGTCGAATGAGGCGTCGAATGTGAAGGTGTCAATGTGGAATTGGATAATGCAGGATTTGGCATTGGTTCCACGGTGGTCGAATGAGGAACAATAGGACCAGTGTAATTATAAGAACTAGAGCCATTCATACTGTCGCCATAAGCACCGCCGGTAAAATATTCTTTGTTCACACAGTTGCGTAGATTATCTGGAATGCGGCCCACAATCGCTCGACGAATTTCGGTTGCAGCCATCTCGCGAAGTTCAGTAGAGCTTGCATCACTATACCAGGCGGCATGCGGTGTACAGATCAGATTGGACGCATCTTTTAATGGACCTTTTTCGTTGGTCAATAGAAAACATTTCATTAAGCCCTTCAAGACAACTCTAAATCTATTAATATTTACCGTGATTAACATAGGGTTCGTTTTCGTGAACATCGAGAGCAGCAGCCCGAATTCTGCCATCTTTGAGTGCGGCAGCTAAGGCGTTTTCGTCGACCAGACCACCACGAGCAGTGTTGCAGAGAAAAGCTCCTGTTTGTGGGTGATAGATTAACAAAAAATCAATCAATCAACGAATGAATGAACATACCAGGTCGCATTTGTTTGATTGTAAATTCATTGATGAGATGATGATTGTGTTCGTTGAGAGTACAATGCAATGATACACAATCACTTTGGAATAAAAGGTCTTGCAAAGTGTAGACACGATTCAAACCAAGTGATTTGTCGATTCCGTCCGATAGATAAGGATCATAGAATATAACATTGAAACCGAATGCTTTCGCTCGTAACGCTACTGCAGTTCCCACTCGACCTGTTCAAACAACAAACAGTCAAATCAAACTAGTCAACCATAACAACCTCAACATTACCTAAGCCCACGATTCCCAAAGTATCGCCTCGAATTCGAGCACATCCACTAGCGGCTTCTCTAACTTGTTCGGGACCTTGAAATTTTTTCCCATCACGCACCATATTGGCCAACCAATACGTTCGACGATATAAATTAAGAATTAGGCACATGGTAGAATCGGCAACTTCTTCCACACCAAAACCCGGCACATTACAGACGGCGATACCAAGTTCACCGGCTGCTTTGATATCAACATTATCGATGCCCGAACCGATGCGAACTATTATTCGAAGTGCTTTGAATTTTTCCAAATCTTCTTTGGTCAAATTGATTGTATGCCACATCAGGGCCCCGACAGCTTCGTTCAAAACTTTTTCGTGAATTTCCTGAGTGGATTGAGCATCGCAGAATGCCACCGTGGCAACATCTTTCAATATGGGCATCTCTACCGAACAATCACGGCCATCGAGCAAAGCCACCAAGGGTCGTGAATGTAACGGACCATTCGATATATTTGGTCCCCGAACTAACACATTCAAAACAGTCATTAATCCATAATCCATATACATTCATTATATCAATACAACTTACTGCAATCGATTCTGGCTCGTTTCAGCGTTTTTTTCTTGTCCATGCTGCCTCGGCTACACTGGGTATTTGAAATTATTGTTGTTTTGCTATTGATTGATTGATTGATTGGTCAATTCAATCAAATTTTTATCAATATTATCCGATGACCAAACAAACACGGCTGTTTAAATAAGGCAAAAATCAATTAACACACGTGTCAATAATGAATTGTAAATGATAGCATGTAATCATCAAATCAAATATCAAACGCAACACATGTCATCATCATCATCATCTTGATTGACATACCGGCTATTCAACTGAATTCGAATCGATTCTTTCTCTTGTTTAACACGATAAAGATAATGATGACGATACAGCTATATATGATTCACACACCAAACACTCAAGTTGTTGGATGATAAATGTTTGAAAAGAATCTTTTTGGCAAAATCAAAATTCGTTAAATCGCTATCGAGGATGAATGAATCGCTGGTGACATGTAATCAACTAATTATTAAGCGATCACTAAATAAGCGACCGACGGCAAAATCTTTATCTTGCACTCACAAAAACAAAACACACTTTCTTTTTTCGATCTTTCCAATTCTCGCCACCGAAATGAAACAACAATGAAAACGATTGGGAGAGAGAGAGAGAGATGTGGATGAGAAACACACACACAAACAATGCAACAAACACAACATAACAAAAAACGAGCAAATCCAACACCAGACAAGGCGAACGTAATTATTATGTTTGCAGTAGAAGTGGCATACACTAATGAATAAAATTCGCTACATTTTTCGACAAAACGGTGCCGGCCAAAGAAAATCTGCGACATTCATTCACATACAACAATACGTCATCTATGAACAAACAAAATAGGGAGTGGTATTCTCGTGTTGGTGTGACGTTTTGTTCCATTTTTTCGCCATTACGCGCGCATTGTTGGGTGATGGTGATGACGATACCTCATTCATTCGCACAGCACGTGTATCGAATATTATTGGGAATTGGATAGATATGATATTTGACTTTTTCCGAGTAACTTTGAAAAATAAGGATAATGATGATTAGAGATTAGCTTAGATTCATCTGTTGATGTAACAAGTTCAAGGATTCTGATAAATAACAAATGAACCAGACTGACAATCATCCATCGATTGATCGAATCAGAGATGAGAATGGGATATCAAAAGGTTACCATGTGTAAACGTGCATGCAACATCGTTTAGATGAGAGAAAATTGTCACTTGTTTACCAATTGACAAAAAGGAAAAAATCTAATCAAGTGCAATGTGAATATCCCTTGATCCAGCAATAGTCAAAATCAATGCGGTAATTAATATTGGCGCCATTTCTATTTCATGCCATTACAGAATGCATTCACACAAAAACATTCTTACCCGATTTTCTTCCAAATAATAATGTTGAGGGTGCTAATAATACAGTAATACAAACAATACAAAGCACAACTAATCAAATACAACAATAAACAACATTCATAACACACTGTGAAGAGTGACTGACTGAAATAATTGTTTTGTTTGTTTGGTAATTTCTTTCTCGCCAAATAATAACAAAGATCATTAACGATGATGATGGTGATGGGCATGATCAATTCTCTCGAATGATCCAAAGCGCCATCTAATGTCCATTTATGTTAATTGAAAAAATGTTTGAATTTCGATCAATTTCCGATTGAATGACAATTATCATTCTGACTAAAGAGAAAAAGGTCACTTGTCACTCAATCAAAAAATCATCACATGACAATCGATTGAAAGCCTTCGATCCACCGACTTGTTGAGCAAGTTTTTTCTGACCAAAAATAAATATTTTGTTTGGATCAATTCCTAAAGTGAACAAAAAGGCCCAAAGGCAGAAAACTTCAAAGAAAAACAAAAATCAAATCTGACATGTCCTGTTTCGTGCGTAAACCATTCAGACATGAATGAATGAACGAAAAAACATTGCCTGCCAACCTTGCAAGCAAGCACAATTCAGACACTGTTGATGATAATGATGATGATGATGATGATTATCCCTCAATGTGACTCGCATACGTGGTGTGCATCCAACACTTGCCAAAGAGAAATATAGGTGGAGATTGTGTTTGTATGTTCGTTGGCTATATCGTAACTAAGGACAGCAGCAGCAGCAGCTCGAATCGAGGAAAGAAAGCTAACGACGCCATTTTCGTTCAGGAATCCATAACAAATGCATCGATCAAGTTTAAATAAATTTACCATTTACCAATTGTACTCGAATTTTTCTCCCGGATTATCATCATGGCTCAAAACCTAGCTTAAGCTAAACCATCATCACCACGATGGAACCACCACTAAACGCGTTTCACAGAAATCGGCAAAACCGACCAAACATAATATTATTCACCAATCTAACCTAATTCTATTCACCGCACAAAATCAATCAAACCCAGTCTCGAAAAGGGTCTGAACCAACCAAAACATAAGCATCAATCATGGCGTGAGTATCCCAATAGATTTTTTGCCCAAACAAATTCAATATCCGATTGTTCCATTAGGTCTCAAATAATAACCACCACCAATTCTAACCATTCGAACAGCACACCATCATCATCATCATCAAACAAACGACAATCGAGTAATTCAATCCATTCGAATCCAACATCAAAGCAATTAGCCGAAATAAATGGAGTTCAGTTATCATCAGGATTATTATGCAGCCAACAATGGCTGCTTTGTTGAAGTTGAAGGCTATCATCATCAACACTATCAACATCAACATCAAATATCACAACAGCCAAATCAATTTGTTTGCTATGAATCACAGCAATTCGATCAAAAATTATCGCATAGCCAATTTGAAACCTATCACCACCAACAACCACAGTACAGCAGTATAGCATCATCATCATCATCGAGCCCAGATAGTAACCACTACTACCAGGATGGATATTATTCATATCCATCGTCTATCGAATCACAGTCACCACCATCAGGCGATTCAAGTCCATTCGGTCAAATTGATAACAATCTCGACTCAATATTGGATGAAATAGCTGCCAACGCTGAAAATATTGACGATATTCTTCTGGCCAAAAATGAAGACGATCTATACAATCTGCTTGAAACTAGCGATCATTACTCACCATTATCATCATCATCCCTCGATTTCGATGATAATCAATCGGTGGTTACGCTCAATTCGGAAACAACAACAAGTTGCTCTCCACAACGAAAACTATCAATCGATTCTAGCAGCGGATATTGTTCATTCGATTGTGATTCCATTGAAACATCGTCGTCATCATCACTGTCACCTTCACCACCCTCAACAACCAACCAATCAAATGCAGCCGCAACAGATACTAATCGAGTAAAACGACGACGAAATCGTCGATGTAAACATACTAAAGAAGAACGAGCATTGAGGAAAAAAGATCAGAATAAAAAAGCAGCCATCAAATATCGGGAACGAAAAAAGGTGCAAACGGAAACAATCGAACAGATTATCGAACAACTTGAGTATCGACGAGATGAGTTGACCATCCAATTCAGCCGAATCGAGACCGAATTCAATGTCATCCTACCACTGGCTAGACAAGCATTTCAAGTGGATCCCATTCGTGGCCAACAATTGCAGCAATTGATTCAACGACTCCAGCAGAATGGTTTCAATCAATAATTATTTATTTCATTTCAAACATTTTGATTTGCTTTGTTGACATTTCATTTCATTTCTTATTGATTTTAATTAAATAAATTCATTCATTTAGCCATTGTTCAGTAAAAAAATTTTGGAATCGACATGATTTCATCTCGAAATTTATTTAAACTTTTTCGGCATCCAAACCATGTTTGAAAAAATTCATGACAGCCTTTTCATTGCCATCTTCACCTTCGCGAAATTCCAAAATTCCGACAATACCATCCGGATTCGAACTATTACCAAGATAAAATTGTGCATCATTCACTTTAGGGAGAATTTTCTTCACAGCTTCGGTAAATTTAGCCTTTGCTTCGGCAATTTGTTCATCGCTCCATTCCAAACTCTTCCATTTTTCCTGCAATGTTTTTGTATAGGTTTTGAGATAATTTTTGAAATCGGCTTTTGAAAATGATGCCTCAATCAAACGTTGATTAAGAACCAGATCATATCCAGATTCGGTTATTTCATCGGTACCCTCATCAGCCTCTTCAGCCGATGGATTAAAACCATCAATAGCAATATCGCCTTGTTTTCGCATGACAAACTAAACCAATTTCAAATTCAAACGGTTAAATCATTGCAAAAACAAGGTGCAAACTTACTTGGCATTCAACTTCCCAGATACAATCATCGACAAGCCGAACTTTCGATGAATCGGTAAACATTTCGTCACCTAACCCAGAAAATCTTACATCAAAACATTAACCAAACAATGAGCAAAATACATACCGGTAATCAAATCCTTATAGATGATCATTTTGTATAAAATTAATTTATTTTAAAAAATTTAATAAAATTTAAAACTTTGTGAAAAAAAATTAAAAAAAACTATGTATTTTACACAGAGACGAAACTAAAAAGACCGAACAATATTTTCTGGCCACACTGAACTTGTTGTATTTAAAGGAAAAGGAAAAACACATGCAAAGTCTGCATGTGCGAGTGGTGCGTGTGTGAGTGGTGTGTGGGTTTCATGTTGATTGCACTCACACAATGCATAGAAGCACAGCTGAGAGAGTGATTTCAATTGATGAACATTAATCTGGCAAATCTAATCAATTTCAAAATTGCTTGAAATTTAAATCTTAATCACATTCAATATTCATGGATGGATCAATTAGATTGATTTAATCTAAGCTAATCTATCATCTACAGACGTATTACGCAAACTTGCGTAACAAATTCTTTGAACGGAATCCAAGCATGCCGTTTCGAATTCAGTACCGTAACACACGCCAATCAGTATAGCAAAATAAGAATCGAGAAAAATGGTCATCAAAAAATTGGATAATCGTTTGCGAATATTGATCGAAAATGGCATCATTGCCGGACATCGAACAATGTTTGTCATTGTTGGACCTAAAGCTCGTGATCAGGTTGTCATTCTTCATCAGATGCTTTCGAAATCTCGTGTAAAAGCACGACCATCCGTATTGTGGTGTTATAAAAAAGAACTGGGTTTCTCTTCGTCAGTATTCAATACATGAAATGTTCATTCTAATTTAATGTATTAATATTTTCCAATAATAGACACCGGAAAAAGCGAATGCGATTGTTGCAGAAAAAACTTAAATCGGGTGTCGAATTGGACAATGTTGAGGATATGTTCGAAACGTTCATTGCACAGACCGATATTCGTTATTGTTATTACAAAGAAACGCATAAAATTCTTGGCAATACGTATGGAATGTTGATATTACAGGATTTCGAAGCCATCACTCCCAATATATTGGCTCGAACTATCGAAACGATTGAGGGTGGTGGAATTGTTTGCGTTCTATTGAATCAGATCACTTCTCTTCGACAATTGTATACAATGACTATGGATGTTCACACCAGATATCGAACCGAAGCTCATCAGGATGTTGTTGCTCGATTCAACGAACGTTTCATTTTATCACTGTCATCTTGCAAAAAATGTGTTATTGTTGATGATAAATTGGATATCGTGCCCATTTCATCCAATCTTGATGAAATTGTTGCCATACCGCGAAACGAAGAATCCGACGAAATTTCATCGCCACAGCTAAAAGAATTGCAAGAATCGCTCAAAGACACTCAACCAATCGGTTCGATTATCAATCTTTGTCGCACTTTGGATCAAGCACAAACAGTTTTGAAATTTATCGATGTCATTTCGGAAAAAACATTGACATCCACTGTCTCGTTAACGGCTAGTCGTGGTCGTGGTAAATCGGCAGCTTTGGGCTTAGCAATAGCTGCAGCCATTGCATTCAATTATTCAAATATCTATGTCACTTCTCCTTCACCCGAAAATTTGAAAACATTATTCGAATTCATCTTGAAAGGATTCGATGCCGTTTCGCTGAAAGAACATCTCGATTATGACATTATTCAATCGACCAATGAAGAATTCAACAAAGCAATCGTCCGTATCAACATTTACCGTGAACATCGTCAATGTATCCAATATATCCATCCTACCGATGCGGTCAAAACAAATTTTCTGGCTCAATCGGCTGAATTGTTGGTTATTGATGAAGCTGCTGCAATACCATTGCCCATTGTCAAATCCTTGATTGGACCATATTTGGTGTTCATGTCTTCTACGGTTAATGGCTATGAAGGTACTGGACGTTCTTTATCGTTGAAATTGCTTCAACAGCTTCGACAACAAAGTCGTTGTCGTTCGGATAAACAAAACAACGATGTTAACAACATTGGTGGTAGAGTTTTGCATGAACTAACTCTGAACGAATCGATTCGATATCGAAACGGTGACGATGTTGAGCAATGGCTTAATCAACTTCTTTGCCTCGACGCTAGCTGTGTCAATTCAGTGGATGCAACCGATTCGGTCGGTTGTCCCTTGCCTGCCGATTGTCAACTGTATTACATAAATCGTGATATACTTTTTAGCTATCATAAAACATCGGAAAATTTTCTGCAAAAAATCATGGCCTTGTGTGTATCGTCACATTATAAAAATTCTCCAAATGATTTGCAAATGATGTCCGATGCTCCTGCTCATCATCTTTTCTGCCTTTTACCACCTGTTACATCGAAACATTTGAAAAAATCGCAAATTCCTCCCGTACTCTGTTTCATCCAGGTATGTTTGGAAGGACAAATCTGCAAAGACTCGATTATGGCCAGTTTATCACGCGGACAACGTGCTTCGGGTGATCTTATTCCGTGGACAATATCTCAGCAATTCCAAGATTCACACTTCGCTGAATTATCGGGCGTACGAATTGTTCGGATTGCCACCGATCCGAATCATCAGAAAATGGGCTACGGTACACGTGCATTACAATTACTTGAGGATTATTATCGCGGTCTTTACAATGTCAATCTAATCGACGAACGTTCCATCACCAATGATGAATCGGAAGAAAATCAAATCAAAAAACTGGATGAACCATTATTGTTAGATCTCAAAGAACGCAAAGCAGAAAAATTAGATTATCTGGGTGTGTCATTCGGATTGACTTCTGAACTGCTAAGATTTTGGAAAAAATCCGGCTTCATTCCAGTCTATCTACGACAAACACCAAACGAACTGACTGGCGAACATTCATGCATCATGCTCAAGCAATTGCATGTCGAAAACATCACAAACGATTGGCTGCAACAATTTTGGATAGATTTCCGACGACGATTCATTTCATTACTTTCGTATGAATTCAGTAAATTTTCCACTACATTCGCATTGAATATTTTGCAAAATGTTCTGGTCGATTCAACCACGACAAACACCGATCGATTGAACAAAGATGAATTATTGATCCATATCAGTGTCTATGACATTAAACGATTAGAGCTTTATTCGCAGAATTTGGTCGATTATCATTTGATTGTTGATCTATTGCCCACTATTGCTAAACTTTATTTCAACAATCGATTCGATCCCAGCTTCCATCTTTCGCATGTACAGAATGCCATTCTCCTTGGTATAGGATTACAGCATAAAAATGTCGATTCGATTGCCGAAGAATTCAAACTCCCAGGCACACAAATATTAGGTCTTTTCAGTCGAACAATCAAAAAAATGACCAACTATTTTCGTTCGTTGAATGAAAAAGAAATTGAAAAATCCATGCAAATCAATAACGATGTTGGCCAATCATCATTGAATCCACTGCCGCAGTCATTAGATGAGGAACTTGTCGAAGCGGAAAAACTTGTCAATCAAGATGAGCGTAAACGCAAAAAACAGCTAGTCAAAGATCTCAGCCAATTCGCTATCAAAGGTAATCATTTTTATTCCTAAACACTAGACATTTATCATTTTTATTATTTCAAACAGGAAACGAAGATGATTGGGATCGTGCATTGAAAGATTCACAGAAAACATTGATATCGATCAAAAGTTTAGCCACCAATACCAATACCAATGCGAATAAAATGGAAAATCAGCCACGAATGAAGAATGCCAACAAAAACAACAACAATAATAATAATAACCGAAACAAAAAGAATAAAAAATTTCGCAGAAATTAAATCTTGCAATGACAAAGTGGACAATTTTTCAATGAACGAATCTCCTCTGCCATTGCATGATGTTTGCATCGTTGGCACGTCCAATTTTTACAATTTTGATCAATCATCGATCGGCCCGTCGCCACACAAACGTGAAATTTTGTCTGACATTTCGGACACGTGGTACTATATTGCGGAATCGATGATTGTCCACAGAATTTGCATGCAACTTTATTCGAAACGTCATTACGAATTTCATCGGGCGAATTTTTCAGAAAAATTTTCACCGCCATTTGTTGATATTTCTTTGTTTTTCTAATTATTTCTGTATTTTCTGCTTTCGAAATGTTTGTCGTTTCCCCACTACCACCAATATTGAATAAATCATTAATCCATGAATGCCACGATGTTGATTGTTGTTGTTGATTGTCTAGCGATTCCAGTTTGATGAATGCTTTCGAACAAATATCATAACATTTGTTTGCATAGGCAGTCAATGCCAGCAATGAATATATCTCCTCAACAGTTAGATATTCTTCATAATCCTGCAGATGTAGCGAGCAATTCATGGCCATTGAATACTTGCCCAGATAAAGATTACGCTGTGCAACCATATAATAATGATATGCTTCGGCACCTTTCCAAGGATCTATTGTCGCCGATCGATTGCTGGCATCATTGGTGAGATCGTCATCATCATCATTATTCTGCAATAGCAATTCGTCCAATTTTTCATGTTTGTTGCCGGAATTATGATTGTTCAGTTTGTTTTCCTCATGAATGAGGCCGACGAGAACATATAATTTTTTCAATAAACTTAAATCCTTAGATTTTCGAGTTTCATCAACCATTTTCATTATGATCGACACTGCCTTTTCAATTTTGTTGGCCTTTCTAAACACCTGTATCATCTCCATATATTTATGATCACTTTCCAAATGCTGAACATATTTTTCCAGAAGAGCGTCAATATTTTTTGTTTTGTACTGTTCGGCCAATTCGGTAGCCAATTTCCACTCGTTTAGTTTAACACAGGCATTGATGGCCTTTTCAAAATTGCCAGCACGGATATACGCACGAACCGCATCCTTACAGAATGCCAATGATTCGAAAAACATTGCCATCTCCAGCAATATCTTTTGATCATCGACTTTATCGACCAATGTGACCAGTGCATCGTATTTCTCCACCATCATATAACATTGGGCCAATTTATTGTAGGCATTGATTTTTGCATAATAACGAATTGCTTGTTGCCAATCATGATTGTCTGCATAATATTCGCCCAAATTCATGTAGACTTGTTCCAGTTCCTTATCATGATTGGCCAAATTGTTGTATTCTGTCCACCAAAATTAAATTCAAATTAATTCAACACTATTGACAGAATGCTAACTTACTTTCTAATAATGTTCGAACACGTTCGAAATTTCCGCTGATTTTGTTGAGCGAAATAGCTAAATCTGGGCGATCTAAGTCCAGATATTGAGATTCAGCTTCCGATAATCGGTTTTGATAGGCATAGATTTCGGCTTTTTGCAATTGCAAATCTTTAAATCGATTCAAACGTTTTATCAACTGCAATCCCTTATAATCATGAGTTTTGATCATCGTCAAATAGGCTGTTTCGATATCCAAATTCTTCAGACATTCTTCACCCAATATATTCCATAATGAAGCCAATTCGGGCATTTTAACCGCATAATTTATAGCATCGGTAACCGAGTTATTTTCATTGATAAGCGCACGAATATCATTCACATAATGAGAGGCAATATTCTCGATGAAATCATTGATATCGATTTGATTGCAATCCGATTGATAGTTGTCGCTACCAATGCCAACAATCAATTGATCCAGTAGAATTGTCTGCACTGATAGCTTTTCAAATGAACAAATATAACCGTCCGATGTGATTGGATCCAACACTTTCACCGCACCTTTGTACAGATTGATGACGATCATTTTGTTTTTGTCCATCAGAACAATCAAATCATTATGATCGGATGACCATTCGAATTGCCAAACATCATTCAACTTGGTCATTTCGATCCAATTTCCATCGGTCCAGGTTTGTTCGTTATTCGCTTCGAAATCATATAGATAAAATTTTAGATTTCGATCAGTTATGGCCAGTTTCGTTGAATTTCTATTCAATGCCAAACACCATGCAACGCCATTACCCTCCATGCTGATTTCATTGGTACGAGTCATATTCGGTAACAGATATTGATGAATTTTGCCGGAATCAAAGCCAACAACGAAAAATTTTTCCGATACAGTTATGCAGGTTATTCGTTCATTGCGATCGATTATCAGATCACCCACAACAGCATTATTAACAACATTATCATTATTCATGCTCAATTCCTGATACAGATGATCACCATATAAAGATTTAAAGTTATTTTCATTATAAAGTTGTTTGAACGACCAAATATAAAATGCCGAACCATTCGATGTTACTATCACACGATTCGAATTCATACAGCAGAATCGAATGGGCAAATCGGCAGTAACCAAATGATAATCAATCAATGTTCCAATCGAATTGTACAGACTCAAACTAAAAGCTTCTCTTTTATCATTGCTTTGATCGATTCGTTCGACAACAACACAATAATGATGCCAACAGGCCATCTGAACAAAATTGTTTGCCAATCGCTCATAACGTCGATTGGTTTGATTACCGAATTGCCAAAAAGTCAGATATTTTTGCTTCTTATTTTGTTCCCCATCAAAATCTTCACGCAAAAATGATACAGAATTTGTTAGGAAACACCATGATGTTCGACGTTTCAGATTGGCAAAATACATAAATGAATCGACGGCCAAAACCAATTTGCGGCTGTTCTTTTCCCAAGAACAATCATGAATCTCAGTGCCCGGGACTTTGGTCACCGACATTAGTTCACCTTGGTTGTTGAAAATTTTTAGAAAATTCTTGCGGCTACCAGACGTTCCACCGCCGTAATTGCCAGTGACAGCAAACATATCGCCAATATAGTTCCATTGGATGGATGTGATTCGCATTTCACAATCGATCACTTGTGCATTATTATCCGATTCATTTTTCATCAATTGGACCACCCCATTATCGAATGCAATGATCAATGGACGAATCAACGAATGACCAAACCATTTGATGGCGATAAATTTTTCTGCCCCTTTCGTTTTGAAGGAAATTTTTCGCAGAAAATCACCAGCCTGATCGAATAAATGAATGTCCAAATCTTTGGTGCCGATCAAAATGATTTTTCCATCCGGAGACCATTCCACCTGATTCAGACTGATATTTTTCAACTCTTTTCCCCATAATCGACTACCATCAACCGACCCGGTTATTATGGCACCATCTTCATAAACGATGCATATTTTGTTTCCGTCATGCGTCCAGGCCATTCCGGTGACCAAAGATTTTTGCCTGTTGTTCACCATTTCTTCATACCACATTCCTTTGTAAAACATCCACACGATAATCGTGCCGTTTGCATCACTTGATGTAAGCTTCTGAAATTTTTCATTCCAACAAACACTTTCGACAGTTGCTTTATGACTTTCCAGTGTTTGATTCATTTGAAAATTTTTCGACGAATCATTTTTCGATGCAACTTGATTGACATTTTCCAATCGGATAACTTTCAACATTCCCGATTCACCACCGCAAGCGATAAATTCATGTTGCCAACTCCATGCGATGCATCTTACTTGGGAACAATTCGGTATCGATATCTTTTTGTTCAAATGTACAAACATCGTCATTGTCATCTGATTAATCAACATCGAAGGATAATTTTTCACCAAATTTTGAATGTTTTTCGCTTCCGTTTCTATGGCTACATCTAAACATTGTGAAACTAAGCAACCAAGCACTAGATGGCGGTTCATCCAATTGTTGTTGTTGTTGGTTAATGGTGATGTGTATCACGTTTTGTTCGGCAAATTTTCGTGAATCATTTGCGAAAATAAAATGGATCCTTTAAATTATACCTTATACATTAATGGCTTCATGTCGATATTGGCATATTTTGCTGTCAAAAATATTATACCCAAAATGAGCTCAATGTTTATCGAGGCGCATTTGTTTGGCAATGATCTGTGTAAGAAAGATCAAACCAAAAAAATGTAAGTAAATCCACAAGTCCAACTAACAAGATAATTGTGTTTTTGGTTTGTTTAGTCCAGAATCTCAAGGTGTAATTGGTGGATGCGTCTATCTAATCATTTTATTCTGTTTTATACCGATACAATTCAGTCAATATAAATCATCATCGGCAATCAATCCTCATCTATCATTTATCGATCATCATTTGGTAAATTGATTTATTTTTGCCATTTGTCTCAAATATCAAAATAATCCTAGCCATGTTATGTTGATATAGTTTGTTCAATTTTTAGCCGGTTTATTATCAATATGTTGTATGCTGTTTCTTGGGTTTGCCGATGATGTTCTAAATCTTCGATGGCGTATTAAATTATTGCTACCAACATTGGCCAGTTTACCGTTGTTATTGGTCTATGCATTAACCTATGATAATACAACGATTATAGTGCCAAAACCATTACGTTCATTATTGGGTTTCAGCATCGATCTGAATCTGGTTTACTATGTCTATCTATCATTGTTGGCCGTATTCTGTACGAATGCCATCAATATATTGGCCGGTATCAATGGCTTGGAAACTGGACAAAGTCTACTGATTTGTCTTTCGATCATCGTTTACAACTGTGTGGAACTTGTTCGTCAAACCGATCATTATCATTCGCATGTTTTTTCGCTGAATATGATGTTGCCATTTTTGGCCGTAACTAGCGCTCTGTTTCACCATAATTGGTATCCAGCCAGGATATTCGTTGGCGATACATTCTGTTATTTTGCCGGAATGACATTTGCCGTCGTCGGTATCCTAGGACATTTCAGCAAAACAATGTTACTATTTTTCCTGCCGCAAATATTCAATTTTCTTTATTCATGTCCGCAATTGTTTCATTTTCTGCCATGTCCACGACATCGATTACCCAAGTAAGTTTCTCAACAATAAAAACTGAATTTTTCATTAATTTCCTCACACACACTCATCAGATACAATCAACGAACCGATCTTATGGAACCAAGTACATTCATCATTCCAAACGATATTGGTGGCCTTGCTAAACTAATGCTGAAAACATTATCGCTGTTAAGGTTAATCGAATTGCGTGAACCACCCAAATCAACTAATCAACAATGTTCAAATCTAACGCTAATCAATCTCATGTTGGTATTATTCGGACCTATGCATGAATCAAAACTAACCCGATTACTATTGATTGTACAATTTTGCGCCACTTTGATCGCATTCTTTATACGTTATGGATTAAGTGAAATATTTTATTAATGTGATTCAATAAAAATATATTTTATTTATCTATTCAATTCGATTCGATCAAATGGGTAGGGCATTTTGCGAGCAAACGAATAAACATCATCCAAATTGATTGTCTCGGTTAGGCATTTTTGTCGTAACACTAGGCAATATTTTTCGATTGATAATCGTTCCGTTTTTGATCGATGTCGTAGTTTTGTATTCCATAAAATCCTAAATGCTTCAGCAGCTATCAAATGAATGTGACATTCGCTTAGAACAAAATCCACTCGATATCTTCTGATTATTTCAAACAAACGTTTAGCCAAATGGTAAATAAATCGACAAATGATGGACGGAAAATACATTTTCTTGGCGGTTATCGACAAAGGCTGCCATTTAGTGATGAGACTTGCAAATTTCATAGCTTGTAATAAGATTCTTTGAAATATACTATCAATGACGACCGATAATGGATTTAGTTGGCAATCAAATATTTCCGGATAACAATGAAGATAGAGACTTGTTAACAACAATTTCATTTGTCTCAATAATGGAGCCAGTCGATTACAATCAAATGAGTCCATTATGCATTGATCAACAAAACCAGTGTAATCGATCCGTATGACAAGTTGCTGTTGTCGGTTGATCAATGAAAATTCTCTGCCCAAAAATCTGACTGTAAAATGTTGGTGATCATTTATCAATCCCTCCATATCGAAATTCATTGTTAGTTTATCTTCATTAACAATAAGATTATAATCTGGTGATATTGTTTTCAAGTTGTTAACAAAATTTGTAGCTCTTTTTAGATCGGTCGATAAAAAGAGAAAATCATCGGCAAACGATAGAAAAAGGTCATTATCACTGTTGGATGATTTGGATGATGAAGATTGACGAAAAATCAACGACCAAATATAATTCAAATAAATCTGACATAATTCAGTGGAAAGCGGACTACCTTGTCGGATACCATGTTTAGTAAAACTACAGCTAGTTCGACGACCAAGACTGATGATTGTCTTGAAGAGATATGCCCGTAAAAGATAGATAATTTTTTTGGTGTCCATTTTTTTACAACCATCAATGGATCGATCATCAACATTAATTATGCAATTGCGAACCTGATTATAGCCAAGTTGCTTGATCACAGATTTTTCATCCAAACCACAACCATCATCTTCCATGTTGCAGAGAACAGTTTTCACTTGTTTACGGTGATAATTTTTTCTTTGTCTGATTAGATAGACATTTTTCATGAACAATTGTGCCGGTAATAAGTATTTACCAATTTGAATTCGTTTACAAACCCACTGTTTGGTTATAGAATCCAAAGCTATCAATATGATCGACATAAGTTTACTGAGATTGATTGATGGATAGCACTTTTGAAAGTCACCACGGATTATATAATAACGATCATTCTGGCCATTCAACTTCTCTTTTAATCGACAATACAAATCCAGATATGATCGATTTTGAAGATATTCGTTGCCGAAATTACGATTCAAACAGCTTAATATAGCGATGATGGATGATATTTGCTTACGGAAATTTAGATTCGAATGTTGTTTTGCATATCGAAGTCGTGTGATTGGTCGCAGTCCTCCGGATTTCGGTATAAAACGTAATGAAGAATATCTAAGGTAATCATCTAAATCTTTACATTGTATAAGATTTTCTTTTCTCACGACCGACCAACGATTTTCATTAAAATGGGACCGAATAGTTTGATTACAAAGTTTGGCCCAAAGATCATAACGATAATATATAAGTCTATGTTTCATTTGACGACTTTCGGTCACATAGAATTTGGATCGTACGATTTGTTTAAGTAGACGAAACAACCAACATAGTACGAGAATGTCAATCTCGTTGGGTTGAACAAAAATATTCATACTGATATACATATCCTCCAACAATGGCTGCATTTGATCCAATTCCATACCATTTATAATGTCGAATATACGAAATCTAGTTATTCGACACGAAGTGAACAGTTCTTTCAGAATTCGGTAGAATGTACGATAATTTTTTTTACTACCCAACACTTGGATCGGAATGATCCGATAATAGATTGCATATAAAAAACTGTTCACTTGTTTGAATGTGGTACGCATCTCCACAATATCATCTGTCCGGTTGTTCAATGGACAACATTGACGTAAGATAGATTCAAAATTGGTATTTTGAATATTATCATAAATTGTAACCAAATATTCATCAATTCGATAGGGAAAATTTTTTTCCAAAAATTTGGCTTTATCGCCAAATATATGTTGATGTGCCTGAGATAGCCAATCTTTATTATCTTTTATCGGAATGAATGGAAATTCATTTTGAGATCGAAACATGATTCGACCGGAAGATTGCCGTGAATAAAGCATATCGGCACGATTTAATGGTGATGATCGGCCATACAATCCCAAGAATCGTTTCTCTTGCTTTTGATCTGTTTCGAGTTGTCTTGTCAATGGATCATCATCATCATTGTCATCATTGTCGTGTGTAGCAGCATTCAACAGTGAACGATAATCTGGTGGTATGTCATTCCAATCATTATTCAATTCGGTTCGATGCGGTTTGATTTGCTGGGTTGATAAATTGATTGGTAATTGTTTTCCCATTAATAAAAAATAATAATTGCATTTATTATTATAATGATATATACTGGCATTTTTCGCCAATCTTTTCGCCATTTTTTCTCCAATCAAATTGTTCAATACGATCATATTGGACATGGCATTTTCAGTCGAATTTGTTTTGAACCTTTTTATTAAATTTTGAAGTTTATCATCATCAATACGGTTCGATTTCATCAACCCGAACAAATATGACGGATCTTCGTTTGTCACAAGAAACGTACAAGACAAAAACAAACGAAATTCACAAGAAATAACGTCATGAATTTCGGGCGAGAAAATGAATCTGACTAGTATCTCCATCAAAGAATAATGATAGCTATAATGTTTTTTTAGAATTTTGTTCAGTTCCATTTTTCAGATCAACAGGGAAGGAAAACAAAACAGCAGTGAAATTTACTAATTAATTTCAAATCCAATTCACTAAATACACAGGTGAGAATGTTGCTATTTTGACATTTTACTATTGTGACACAAATGACACCAATCCATCAATCAATGTATCGAGACATGATCATCATTTGAATGATAATGAATTTTTTAGAAACCAAAAACAAAACGGGGAAAAGGAAACTGAAAAGTCAATGCAAAAGTTACATCACCATCAACAGAAACACTTCTATGAATAGTATCGAAAACAATGAATTTTTCATTCGAGAAAAATAAAACATTGCATAATTTGGACAAAAGATATTTTTCGCCATTCATTACATTTTTCAATTAAAACCGTTTCATTATCAGCAAAGGGGAAAATAAAAGACAATCACAATCACTAAACAATAAACAAAACACAACAGACAACGCCCCTCAATACAAAATATGTCCATTCTCCATTTCTAGCTAATTCAATGATCTGGCCAACAAATTCAATCAATCAATCCCATGAATGGTCTTTTGCCAATCCAATGGAGATATGGCGGTGGTGATATAATCATTTGCTCACTAACTAACTAATAAGCTGACTAATTGATATTATCGACATTGAAAAGAGAAAATGCTAAGTTTGGCCATTCCATAATTTTAATAAATATTATTTCCAATCATTTTCATTCAGCAACATTTCATTTTGCCAATTTTCATTTGATTAATTGGAATAAATTATTTTTCCATAAAACAAACAAACATTTTAGATCGGATTTCAAACACGAACAAACATTGATTGATTGATTGTTAATTAGTGAGTGTATTTACAGAAAACAGACAAACAACAAAATTAGATCAGAAAATATTGTTGTCGTTGCACAACATTTGTATGTTTGTTTGATGCCTTGTCATCGAATGTCATGGTACCACAATTGTGTAATATTGTAGGTGGTTCGACTGTTGTTTTTGGAACAGATCTTGTTCCAGAAACAACAACAACAAAGATAATCCCATGTCGTTGCAGTTACAACAACGACGACCTTACAACAAAACAACAATAAGAAATCGATTGGCAAGGCGTCACCAAATAATCGATTTCTTGGCACCAGGCCACCATCACATCAACATAATGATGATAAACATTTACTTTTCCTAATTATTTTCATTTGAATTTTTGAAAATTCCAACAACAATGTAGATCACAACAAAGTTGCGATTGTCAATTTTTTACCCAAAAGAAACTACCGGATGAATGTTATCGGATGAATGATTATTGTGGTGGTTGTTTGATTTTCTTTCTTCTGATTTCAACAAAACACATGTTTTCATTTCATCTCGATTGTAATTGATTTGTCATCCATTTTCTTTTCTTGACAAAACAATCGATAAATAATCAATCAATCTCATTCCATATATTTCCAACGAAGCAATGATTCAATGGGGGTGAATAATGAATTGGAATTCCAGCAGAAACAACACAAACTGCAATTAATTGACAATCGAATCAATAGAATGGAGAGAAAACCTGAAATATCTAGTTTAGTTAATGCATTATCATTATCATTCATAAATGCATCAATGATATTGATTTCTTTACATTATTTTCACTTAGCTGCTTTACATTTTTTTAAATCAAAAAATCTCTCTTCTTATATTCTCTCTCCAACTCTCCTCAGCTTTTTTCTCTCTCTTTGTTTTTCTCTGATCTGGAAATGGAAAATAGAATAGATTTTTATTGGGAGAACTTTTCCAAAGCGCGGATTGAAATGAAAATAATGCTTATCATCATTATGTCTCAATCGGTGTTCATGATGCACTTCAATCATGTTCAATGTTCTCAGTACGTGCGTGTGTGTTCTGTGCAAAGTACGAAGCAGAAATCAATCGACATTGATATCGTGACAAATGTTTCAGGAAAAAATTTATTAATTTAAATTGAATTAATTCTTGGAAACACAGCTAAATTTTGGTGATTTATTTTTATTCAAAGTGATTTTTCCTTGAATTTTTGTCGCATTTTTGATAAAAACATTGAACAAAATGCCATTGATTCAGCGTAATCTATTTCCAAGTCGGCCATCACCGAAAAAATGTGATGGTCCTAGTGTGCTACGTAATTCGACCAATAGTAATTCCTTGGCAAATAACAATAATGATTCAATCAACAACAGCAGAATTATTATCAATCCAAATCTATCACTATATAATAGTAATGATAATGACCAATCAATCATCAACAATATCAAAGCAAGAAATAAAAAAGATGGCAAACAATTTTTACGTAAAAGTCAGTCAACAAGTATGATTTCATTGTTGGCCATCACCAGCAACAACAACAACAGCAATCAAAATCATTTAGTTCCTTTTAATAAGAAAAATTCGTTGAAAACACCCATCTATGATGATAATTTCAATATTATCAATTCGGATACCAGGTGAGAAAAAACAAAGTCAAAAAATCGATCCATTTTGCTGATTTATATTCCTATGTTTGTTGTCGACATTGTTCGATTGAAAATTGTGTTAATTACGTTGTATGGATCGATACAAACATTGATTATATCTGATCGATTGTCGAATGTAAAATATATCTTCTTGACAACAACAACAGCTATAACTTTCTTTGATCAAAATTTATCGATCGAAAAGCAATTCTTTTCACTCATTGCTTCCGATAATGATCGATAGAAAACAAATGAAAAGAAATGCTATTTGATAACATTGTTAATGATTTCCTTATTGATCATTGATTACAATCATCATTATTGATGATCATTGATGATTGCAATCATCATAACAACATAAAACAACAGCCAAAATCCAAATTTCACACCTTTAATCATTAATCAATCAATCGATTTTGAACCTCTCCAAACAAAAATATGATATGTCCTTTTTGATAATCTTTGCAATATGATTAGTTTGAAATTGAAATCTTTATTTTGCTCGGCCAACTATTTAAGGAATGATGTATCATCATCGTTGAAGAAACAAAACAAAAAACAATTATTAGTAATTTACATGTGTTAATTATTTTCCATTCCAACAAAATGAACATCATCCTACCACCCACTCTCCCAAACATTAGAACGATCTTGATTTGGAAATATTTCAATTATGTTTTCATTGTGGATGTGGTTCCTGTGCCAAGTGGTGTATCATCAAGGTGTAATCATAATGAATTAATCAAGCAAAAACAAAAAGCATTATTCATCATTCTATCATATTTTCAAGTTCACTAAAACAAAACCCTTTTTGCCTAATTTACATATTTTGCATATTTACATATGTTGCTTCTTTTTTTCACCATTGATTGAGATATATGGAGAGAAAGCCATGTTTTTATCAAAGTTAAAGAGTAGAAATTTCCTAAAACAATGAATAATGATGTTGAATGTAAAAATTGTCATGTTTTTAACTTTGTTGCATAATGCAACAACGTTCATCATCATTATCAGTGAGTGAGTGAATGGAAAATCGGCAGCTCAAAGATGATCTTGATAATCACGGAAAATAAATTATCAAAATGAACAGAAAAAAGAAATATTCAAACTCTTTTCTCTTTATCTGTGAATATATATCGGATATCTCATCATCATCAATCAAAGGTTAATCTCATCGCATATAAACTTGACCATTATCATCATTTCATTCAATTTTCTCATCCTTGCAAAAAACATTTTCAATTTCATTCGATTAACAAAATAAACTTTTGGAAACAAGAACCCGTTCAGTTTAGTGTAGCAGGAAAAAGGCTTTTTGTTGTTATTTTCAATTTTATTTTCATCAATTTTTTCCACTGTTCGCATTGAACAAAAATGCTGTTGTTAAATTGAAATTAACCTAGAATTGTTTCCATTTTTTCGTTTTCAATTGGTCGCTATGAAATTGTATCTCTGTGTTAATCGTGTTGCAGCAGGAAAACGGCCATTGTCCATAACAATTGTTTGGATGGTCCAAGGTTATTTTCGTTTTCGTTGAAGATTTTAGAGGGCCAACAACAACAACAACGACAGACAAACATTCATTTCATTTTTTCTATTGTGATCTTTCTGTCTGTATTTTTGAAATGTGGAATCAAAAAAATTAAAAAAAGAATTTTTATGATGAATGAAACGAATCAAAATGCAAACATGACATTGTCATTTTAGGTGTGAGCTTTGAGCTTGATTTTTCTTTGCCATGTTTTTTCCAAAATATAATTCTAGTTTCATTCAAATCAAACTTTTTTTGATCGATTCAATTTTGCTTTCTCAATATATTTTCTACCACAGATGGACATGTGTGTGTGAAATTCATTGTCTAAGCTAAATAATAATAATTGTTTGGCCTGAATTTGTAATAATTTTATTTATTGATCTAATTCAATAAAATTTTTTAATTATTTTGATAAACTCATCTTTGAATCATAGTCATAGTCATCAACCTAACCTCACTGAACTATGAATCATAGTCATGATCATAGTCATCAACCTAACCTCACTCAACTATGAATCATGGCCATAGTCATGGTCATAGTCATCAACCTAACCTCACTAAACTATGAATCATAGTCATAGTCATAGTCATAGTCATCAACCTAACCTCACTGAGCTATGAATCATAGTCATAGTCATAGTCATCAACCTAACCTCACTGAGCTATGAATCACAGGCATAGTGACCAACCTAACCTCACTGAATCAAACAACAACAAAAAAAATTCAGTAAATTTCAATTATAATTAGGACCATTAGACGATGGGAAAAAGCCTGGATAAGCAATAATGATGGATGATGATTGATTATTACCAATCATCATCGTCATTTGTCAATTTTAAAAATTAAAAAAATTGAGCAACATTAAAACAAATGTCATTTCAATTCAAATTGAATAGATTGATTGATTAATTATGACTAAATGAATAAATCAGCAATAATTTGCCTTGCCGGTCGATTAATAATGATCAATCGAGAAAAAAATCGATAATGATCGATTATGGGATCGCAATTTATCAATCAAACCGCAAATATTTTCATTTGAAAAAGCTTCCGTATTTCTTTGTTGAATAATTTTCATTTTTCCAATATAGTTCGGATCCAAATTCACTTTGTTCATCGTCGTCAAGTTCAATGGAAAACAATAATCAAAATATGATGATTAGTCGAAGAAGAATTCTATCCCGATCACGTGATGCATTGAACAGTAGCTCAAGTTGTACAACAACATCGGACGATTATCAAAGTTTCAATCATCAACAACAAGATGAAGATGTTTGGTTCAATAGGACTAAACTTATATCGGTATGTCATTTTATGAAATTTCTATTTTTTTCTTGAAAAATCTGATCAATCAATCAATCAAAACTAACGTAATTCAGCCGAAATCTAATTGAAATGGGCTTTATTTTGATTATTGTTGTCATAAAAAATTCATGACAACATTGCAAATATTACAATTACTTTTGCTGAGTAAAGTGTGTTGTAAATTAGTTGTTAATATAATATGATGATAATAATAATATGCAAGTTTAACGCCACCATTCCATTCAATTTGCACATTTTATATTTTATATTTGATATTTTGATTCAATTCATTCATTCAATGAGTGGACAATTGCTACATTTGGGCGTAATAACAATCATTTCTGCTTTGCTTTCTTGCCTCTGTCTTGTCAGATGATAATTATTATTTGCTTTTTGAGATTTTTGGCAAACAAAATCATCATTGATTAGCATCAATAATGCTAACCTTGACATTCAACATTTTTTCACTTGGATGTTTGATTATTTTTTTGAACATTTTTTAAAGATTTTGTAGTTCATTGATAATCAATCGATAATTAATCGATTGATTCATGTAAATAGGGGCAAATTTTTTCAAAACTTAAAATCGAAAATATTTCATTTGAAAAAATTTCAAGAATTTCGAAACATAATCATAACATTTAGTGAGAATATTCACCAGGGACAATATCATCAATCAAAAAAGATATGAAACAAATAAAATATATCACACAACTGATTCGAAGGAAAATCAAAACACTGCGTGATTTGATGTCATTTATTTCAAATGAAAAGAAAACAATCATCATCATTTCAATATTAAAAATATAAACATTATGATTTGGAAATATTTTGCATCATGTTTTCAGATCAACAAACAAATAAACACTGTTGTGTTGATCTTTAAATTTATGGGGTTTTTTATTAAACAAAACAAAAAATCTTAAGCAATAAACAGGGAAAATTTCACTTTTTCATTGAAATGAATTGATGAAAAGAAAGATGCCAAATTTGCATCTTTTTTCAATCAAATCATATCAGTGGATTTTGTCGTCGTCATAAAGGTGCGACTTTTCCAATGATGATGTGTACCTGATTGTTTCTCTCTATGATTATGGTGAGTAGTTATATGGAATGATAATGATAATTTATCAATAAAATCAATTGATTTGATTAGATCAAAGGGATTAGCTATAAATATGAATTGATAGCCAGCTAGAAGCTAACAAACCAACAATAACAATAACTTTCTGACTTTCTGACTTCAATCAATATCAATTATCATCGTCAAATATATGCATGTGAAAACACAATATGCTCAAAATACAATCCTTTATTTGTGTCGGCAATAATCATGATGAAAAGTAATTCAAATTTGTTATTGCCGATCAACGAAACAAGGAGAAATGAAAACTGATTAGTTTTGTTACAATTTTTCTGATTTGAATTGCAATAATACGATCATCAAAAAAGATTATTATTACTATTATTACTATTATCATTGTTGTTGTTGTTGTTCAAACCATTACAGAAATTACATAATCATCGTGCTTGATTAAAACAGAACAGTTAAAACAGACTTAGTGGAAAAATATTGTCAATCCCTCTTTGAAAGACTCTTTGAAAAGACTTTGGTAAGAAAACGAAAAACAACAAACGGAATTAGAAAGTTTTGCTGGGGATTATTTCCAATGCAAATAATAAAAATCAAGGCTTTTCAATAAAATAACTTTTTCTCACTGCACTGGATGGATAATAATAATAAAAATTATCATTATATGATCGATTGATTGTTGTCCATTGCAAACAACAATTGTCATTCATTACTAATTCAAAACATTCCAGTTTTCCTTTTTTGTTGTGATTTTTATTCAAATATTCATGATAAATAGTCTTTTCGATCAAGAGAAAAAATCGATTGATCAATTATCGAACCTCGGATTCATATCTCTGTGGAAAAAATTAATTCATTTTTTTGAAAACAAAAGAAATGATTATGATAATGGATAATCGTTGAGGCGTTGGTCAATCAGTTTTACAAAAGGGAATTCATTAATCAAAATTCGTTTTCAAAGTGATGGCTGCCATCTAGTTGTTGAAAATTGAATTGAAATTGATATCCTTTTCATTTTTAGGATCATGTCGATGAAATAATATCGAAATGGAATCAAATTGATGATGAAATATGGGCCAAAATAATCTGCATGGAACGTAATCGTCGTGTTGCCAAAGCATACGCTCGAACACCAATTCTTACGATAAATGGTTTTGATCTTGGATTCGATGGTCATCGCATCGGTTTGAATGGTTTCAAGAATCCAATGCGCGATAAAAAATGCCAAGAAATCAAAAATCTGATCGAAGATGGCATCAAAATACGTATGGATGACAATGGCAATCTTCTGATGAAACGTTTGACCGATGTGGATGTTTTTATTTATCGATATGACCGAATGAATGATGATATGATTATTGATAAAATCGAACAACGAAGAAAATCAATCATATTATTCGATATGAAACAATATCATAGCGATCTATTGCAACAATTACATTCCCCTCGATCATCGTCGTCGATACCGAATCGCCGAAAAATTGAACAAAAATGCTTTTGTTTTATATCGTTTGGTATGGCTATCAATAATCCGACCGATCAATTGCTGAATACACCTGTTTGGTGTATTCTGATCAATTTGGTTGCATTGGAAATGTTGATCAAATTATTACCACCAGCACCCGCAAACAATCCAATTTCAGGTAAGTTTGTTTCTGATTAAAATTTCATTAAATTTCATCATTTATATTCCATAGAAGATAATTTCTATTCATTACCGATAACAATTTCATCATCGTTCCATAATAAATTCACAAACAATGCAAACGGTTACCCGAATCAGCACCAACAGCCACTATCATTATCCTTATTACCGCCAAAATTACCGCCGCGTGATTTGATGAATAAAAATCCTCCATTAACATTGCCAGAACCAGATTATGAAGATGATATTAAGCATAATAATAACGTGATAATCACTAAACAACAACAAAAGCCATCTTTTCCATCTAATCAAGGTAATTCTTTCAAAAACTGACTTGGATTAAAATTCTCATCTCCAATTCACTGATTATAGATGATGATCCCTATTTTTATGGACTGAGTGCACATGTGCCAAAATTTCCTAATAATAATCAACAACAACGATCAATACCACCACCAATTCTGCGTAAAGCAAAAAACAGATTTGCCAATAATTATCATCAACCACAACCAGCATCATCACAATTTGATCCCATCACAATGATACAGCCAATCAATGGACGACATAATCAAAACAACAACAACGATGATAATAATGAAATCTATGGTATCAATCCATCGTTGTTACGGAAAAATACTAAATTTCAACCCAGAATAACCACCAATAATTCTAATTCATCATCATTGAGGAATATTTTCTCTAGGAAAAATAAATCAACAAACATCAATAAAGACCAGAATAATAATCCACGCAAACATTAGCCAAATGAAAAATAATTTAATTTTATTATATTTTTGTTTTGAATTTTTTTCAAATTTTTTCAATTAAAATCAATCGGATTCTTTATTTTCCTTCTGGCCATCATTGTTGTTGTTGTTGTTGTTGCGAATATCCAAGTAATTATCAATTAAATTGGCCAAAAATAATCTGAATCGTTTGGATGCTTCGGATCTTTTCATATCCAACAATTGTTGAATACGATCGATTCGTTTGTCAACTTGTTCAGCAAGCTCGAAAACTTCTGGATCTTCAATAAAATTATTGTGTTGATTTTTAAACATTTTTCTTTTTTCTTTGGCAAACTTGAAAACAAATGTGGTTATGATTCGAATTTCAAACGTTATTTTCGGTTTTAAATTAACCGAAAAAACATTCGAAAAATTATCGAATGTTTTCGTCCACTTTTATACAACAACAACGACAAAAGATGGCGTGCTAATTCGAAAATCAAAAAATCAACTTAAAATAACAATGAAAACATTAATTTAGGAATTACGTAATGAATGTGACAGGTGAAAAACAACAACAAAAACAAAATCAAGAGATTTTTTTGGCGTTGGCGATCATCATCAATCTCGGAAACATCAACATGAAGTAACAAAAATTTTTGACAAATCTTTCTTTCGATGAAAAATGATCGAAGAAGCGAAGAAAGAAATTTTTTAATGATTCGCCAAAATCAGTGATGATGTGTTAATTTATCTGGAATAAGACAGGAAAACAAGCAAAAGAAAAAGACAAACAATAATCCGATTTGAAAAAATCCTCGGTTTATTTTATAAAATTGCAAAAAAATCCAAAAAAGCTTAATCCATTTTCATGAACGCGAAAAAATAATCATCATTTCAAAAATAGGAACCAAACGCCAAAAATCTTGCAATATAATTAGGTGTTTTGGTTGAATCTTTCATTATTCATCCAAAAAAACCTGAATGAATATGAAACTTTTTCCGATTAGATAATCATTTGGGAAATTATAATGAAAAAGTGGAAACAAAATGTCAACCATTCAATCATTGTTCTGCAATCATCATAATCATAGAACAAATCTAGAGATGATTGAATAGTTTCAACTGAAAAAATGACGACCACTAACATTCATGTTAAAGTTAAAGTTGAAAAGTTTTTCACTGATTATGAAATGATGATCAATCTATCAATCTGATCTTTGATAGCAGTAGCATATAGCTTGATAATAACATGGTTCCAAATGGATCATCATCATAATCAAATGAAATGAACCATCATCCTTGGCTTTTCATTATAATAATCATCATGATGATCAAGTTTTCATTTCACGATACATTCAAGAAATTGTTGTTTTCTCAATTGCAAATATTCAAATTCTCTTTTTGGTGGCATTGATTCTATTCTAATGGAATTGAAATGCATCGTGCTAATCAAAAAAAACTAGACAAAACGTGTGTCAACCAAAGAAATGAAACCAGACCAGTATGGAACAAAACAATCAGACAAGGAATAATGAAAAGAACATTTTGGTGACATTGATGGATTGGAGAATGGAATGGGATGAATGGTTGAGTGGATATTTTTACTATCGATTCAATGCATTGCATTATAAATATCCACGACAACCAACGATTATATTATGTATGGTCATCACCCCATATCCAACCAATGTAGTATCACTAAGTTACAACTTTTGCAAAAAATGAATCATACATATAATCAATTTGAATGATCATGATAATGATGGTGTGATGCAATAATGAATTCATCGCCTAATTAATACTTTTTCTCTTTCTCTACCAATTCATCATCATTTTGATTGATATGATTTATTAATATTAATTACGTTAATTAGAAACATTTTTGTTGTTGTGGTTTTTTCATGCAAGTATCGATTCAATTTGACTTTTAAAAATGATCATATCAATCATGATCAATTGATCATAACCATTTAGAATATTCCAATCAATCCAAAATAATAATCAGTTATGGTCGAAAGTATATCAAGTTCTTTATGTTCATTTTTTAATCACTTAAAATGATGAAATTACCATTCAGGTTTATGTTGGGATACTTAAAATTTTCTTTTTTCAATGTTTTCCATTTCAAATTGAATATTGCATCTTTTTTTCAAAACTTTTTCAATTAAATAAAAAAACTAATTTCGTGTTCAACATCCATTTTGTTGTCGACTGAATGAAAATCGTCATTTTTCACATCGCAATAAATATTGAAAGGGAAAATTGAAAATGTGAAAAAACCTGTCAACAAATAATCAAAGCATCACGCATACCAATGTCATTTTTCTCGTTGTTCATCACAAGAAATGATGATGACAAAATGATTGTATTTCTTACTCTTTTCCTCCAGAAACACATAAACATATTTGCATAATGTATTTCTTTTGGCAGAAAAAAAACAAATTCTTTATTCAAAAGTCTTTTTAAAAGAATTCATTAATTCATTTCTGTAGGCGATAAAAAACCAATTTTCCAATCCAAATAGGAAAAAAGTAATGAAAAAATATTACCACAATATATGCTGGGGAATTCTTTCAATTTTTTCCTTTGATATGATTCATTCAAATAGAACAAGTGTGTGTCTTGATTCCTTTTTCAATTATAACTTTTTTGTTTTATTACTAACCAGCCATAAAGATGATAATGATCATCATTATTGCCATTATCACACAAGTTGATTGTATTCTCTAAGATAAAGATAAAGATGAGGATAATAATCATTATCATCATGATGAATGCTTGCCAACAACCAAATCTATACTTTACAAAAGATGCTTAAAGCATCATCCTCATAGCATCACAAACAAAATGATAAATCGGATAAACCACACACACACATGGTTAGAAATTCAATTTTCGGACATTGCTGTTGAACTGATTTGTTCAGTAAATTATTTCAATAAATAAATATCAATGATGAGGATGGTGGTGAAGAAAAAAGCAAAATTTTCATTGTGTTATCCCAAAATAGAATGATGATTATCTTGTTTTTGGAATCTTTGAATGATAGATATTCAAAGGTGATTTATTCATTGATCTTATCATCGATCTTAAAATGTACAAAATATAACATCAAAAAAGATTCGTGAATGGAAAATAAAATTTTCTGTTCCTCTTTGATCAAATCTGATTGAATCTTGTTTCTCAGAAAACAACCGAAATTAGATTGAGAAGAAAATTAATTAACTAATTAATTAATTTGTACATCCACTATGAAAACAAACGAGAGAGATTAATTGAAAAGGATAGGCGATTTGAACATTAACCGAAATTGAACAAAAAGATGAAAAGATTTGGCGGATTTGATTTGTTTTGTTATAATTTTTTGTTTGCTTCATTCATTTGATTCATAATCACCATCTTCATCAAAGATTTCTGGTGGAAATGAATGTGTGTGGCCTGAAATGATTTCTGTCGAAATAATAATCAAGGTGTGTGTTAGTCAGTCGAAATAAACGTTAATCAAATAGAGCAATCATCATGTAATGTTTTCAACAACAATAATTTCTCTTTTTGGATCAATCAATGACAAAAGTATTTGATAAATTTCAAATTTTGCCCAATAGCAAGTTCAATAAAATTGTGATCATTGTGAAAATTGATTAAATTAGCAAAAACAATATTCTTTCTCTCGGATAGAATGATGAAATCAAAATCGAATCAAATTGGTTGTCGTATAATAAAGATAAAATTAAATGAAAATATAATTGAAAAAAGAGACATTCAAATCAAATCAAATTAGCAATTCAAATCTGCATTTAATTTTCTCAATTTCTCACTGATGATTTCATCTCTATTTCCAATCACAATCCTATCCTATTTTAGACAGATCAAAACTAATTTGTTAATTTGATGAGATTCAATTTGATTCCAACAATCATTTTCGCTGATTTCGATTATAAAAGTTTTTGTTTTTAGCTTGAAATAGGCAAAAAAAACTCGAGAATCCAAAGAAGGATTGGTATTTTTGTTTTAATCAATAGTTTTTCCCTCCTCTCTGGCAATTCTAGAAAACTAGTTTAATTTTGTTTTTGTTTTTTCCGTTGATTACAATTTTCACATCAATGTCAATGACATTTTTTTCATTCGCATTCTTACGAAAGCCAAAAGAAAAGAAAATAAAGATTTTTTTAAATTTAGAATCAACCAAAACAAAAACTATTTAACACAAAATTGATGATGACACAAAGCAAAGCAAAAATGTGAAACAACAACAACGAAGAAGACGATAAATTGAAAAATTCCTTGGTAATTTTCTTTCTTTTTTTGTTGTTGCTGTTTGCTATTTGTATTTTTTGATTTGAAATCATCACATTAAAACACAGGAATAAAATCAACCATCGAAAAACAAGAACTTAAAAAAATTCAATTCAAAACAGTGTTCAAGAGTTAACAGCCATAACAGCCATCGTCATTGAAATTGTTTTTCGAAAAAAATGACCAAAACAAAGAAAAATTGATAAAATTGCACCCCAATATAGAAGCAGAAAAAATATAGGAATCGAAAAATCTTTTGGATGAAAAAAATGAAATAAAGGTGATGATTTAAAGTTTAAACATTCATTGCCATGTGGTTGGGATACAATTTTTTTCATCATCATAAATACTATGTTCAGGGGAATAGAAAGATTGAAAAAATTGACTCAAAAGTTGGGTCACGGAGATTGATTTCATCTAGAAAAAATTTACCATTTTCATTGATATTATTGAAAAAATCTCAATCTCAACCATCATCATCGACATTGGATTTTCACCTTTCACCACCACTAACTTACAAACAACAACAAAAAAACAACATTGTAAAACATATACAGAAAATGAAGGATCAAATTATATGCTTTACCTAGGATTTTTTCATTTTGATTGAAAATAAAAATTTAACATTGAAATTTTCCAAATAGTGATGATGTGTGTTTGGTTGGTTGTGATTATCATCATGGAAAAGTATATAATAGCCATCTGATAATATCGTAATCTATTCAGTGGTTTTTTCAA